TCATAATACTATATCTTCGTAAGTAGATGGTGTAGCACGATAAGTAAGCTATCGTTAGAAAGCCAAATATTTCGACTTTAAGCTCAAGGATTTTCTGAAAAATCGCTCTGCTTATAAAAAAAATGCGACACTTCCGAATATACGAGAATAAAATATCAAAAACTGAAATCACAAACCATCAGTACAATGTGAATGTTAAAGAAATCTGAAGCGAGAGTTTAGCTGAATTTACAGGAATTTAATGAATTAGGCATTGTAACTGAGCTATTATGCAAGCCTATTTATATACATATAATCTGCCTAGTAACTAACAAACATTTAGTGTTAAATGATTACACAATTTTAACACTAGCCCCGACATGTTTCCTGGATGCTTCCATGGAATTAGTGTCAAGATTATGTAGCAGGCCAATAATAATACTCGAGACAATTAACATAGCGAACAGTAAATGAAAGAACAGATAAAAATAGACAGCTACGCAAATGATGATATAATTCAAATCAACGTCTAGTTTATAAGGATAAATGTTATTTAAAAAAAATTATTCTAATTTGTGTACACAAGTTATCACTCATTAACCGTGTTCAAATTTGCGACTGTTTAAACAACCTTTCAGGGTGAACATTGAAGATGTCCTATCAAAACTTCATGCGTGCTTCAAAGTGGATGCCCGAACATGGGCAGAAACCGTACCACAGGCCACAAACATCACACACAGCTGATGAATCCGAAATTTGTTATATCATTTTTATTTTTAAATTACGATTGATAAACCGTAATACCAACGGTAAGAAAGCCGACGACGAAGAACAAGTCTTATATAGTCATCAACTCTCTTATTTCGTTTCCTGGAAACCAAAGGCGTCGATAGTTATGGTGTGTATCACTTTGGTGTCATGGATCCTTGTTTCTTGTCACATATACACATTATGGCTACTCTCGGCAATGCGAACGACGTACGGTAGACGATGACCTACCGACTTGTGAAAACTAGTTACGAGGAAAGCAATCCTAATTTCCACATAATATCACAAGTTTACAAGGTGCCTACCAGTTTCGCTGCTAGCATACAGATCCGAAACACCGATGTGAATGGACAAACAAGACGTAACTCTACGAACTGATTGAAAAAAAGACCGCACCAGAAGATATCTCAGATATGGAGGAACGTAGGGAGAATAGACTAATAGAAAGTACAAATGAACTTGTGCTTTCATTCGTCAAGAAGTAGGTGAAGAAATACAACCCCACTGATCTTCCAAACATAGGCAAATTGAAACAAAAGAACCAGTCCAATCCGAAACAACCTGCGTCCTTGAAAATCTAGTCTTATCGTCTTTGCGTTTCCGAGCGAAAATACGCGGATGCCAAATACGACCGATCTTCTATGATTTTTCAATAATTCAATAATGCAGTCCAGCAATTAGGTATGTTATTTATTAGAGACGCTCGGGGAACCAAAATTGACAATGTAAATCACTCCGGTGACGACAAATCAGCGATAATAGCCAAGGGGTTGAGGGACTGAGACATACAAGACACTTCGCGATGAGCGTCTTTTGCGGTCAGTAATATTTACGAACATTTTTGTTCACTATTGGCGATCCGTTCTGCTAGGATTGCCCTTAAAGTCAATTTTATGTTTCTGAGAGTGTGGTTTCCGGTGTTTTCACGTATTAATTCTTCTGTGAATGTTTTGGCTTGGCCTATTTCCCTCAAACTTGACAGGCAGGTCACACCATCACCCTAGTTATTAGGCCAATTGTTTTCTTCAGATTTTACCTATCGTTGCCATAGTAACAGCCAACAAACTGGATAGCTTCGTGCTAAATGAATCTCCTCCTACAAATTTAGGATAGAACTCTTCAGACATAGCTCATTCTACTCAGCTTGAGTGTGGGCACTAAGTTACTATTTGAATTTTTGATATCTGTTTTCATTACCGACAAATTTTACTCTTCTGTGATTTTTTTGGCTGGGCCGTTTGGTTCAAACTTGGCGGGCAAGTCACACCTTCACTCTAGTTAGGTTGTAAAATCTGAAAACAAATTCTCGCTCACCGCTGCCATAGCAACAGCCAAAAACTGATTTTTGCATACTTTAGCTCCAAATTTATTACCTCCTACCAGTCTTTATATTATTATAAATAGCAGTGTTTATATGATCATGTTTTTGGCTGTTGCTATTTTTGTTTCAGTCATCACAACAATGCAAGTTAGTAATTTTAACCACAGTTGTGTTCTATTTATGATCGAGCACTGAAATTTTCATTGATAATAAGATATCTATGAATTTCATAAAGTGTAACAAGTTCATTTTGATTAACATGCTCCAAAAAAACACATCCTTAAACTGTCATTCAAAATGTTTCTGACAAAAATTGTAGAGTTTTTTTCCTTGTCATTAAGGCCAGACTTTTATTATCCCTTGTTTCGCGAATGAACAGGAGACGAAAATGAAATAAAAATAACATTTTATTTCAGTGTAATTTTTTGCGCCCGCCGACTTGTAAGCGCAAAAAATGCTAAAAAATATTATTTTTATCTTCATTTTTTTACCGCCCGCCGCATAACAAATCCAAGTTGCATTTTCGTGGGAGTATCATAATCAAAGTACCGAAGTCTCGCGCAGATGAGAAACAAGGTTATACATAGAATAAAATTGTATTTCATTTCATCTCTCCGATCAATGATCTCACAATTCATTGAGATTCACACAAATCTAATGGAAAAAAAAGAATTAATTTTATTTGTTTCCGCCCTCCTCAAAAAAATTGTCTTATAAAAACTTGAGAAACAAGGAATAAAAAAAGTCTGGCCTAAGCCGCATTTTCCCAATGTTTGTGACTTCATGTGGAAATCCTAATCCTAAACAGTCGGGTTTGGCTTATTGTTCATGGATGCTGCGAGATTTATTTTTGTATTTGCATCATATCTTTTTCTTCGTGATTTGACTACACTGTGTAATGTACTCGGCAATTGTGTTTTGTTTTGACGATTGTTGTTGGACGTTTGTTTTGTGTTCTTGCATTTTGTAAAAAAATCAATTGTTATTAACCTATATATTTTTTCACACTTTTATGAACTGGCTTGGCGATTCCCACCACCAATTATATTGGTCACAGCATTTAAGTATGTAAACTTAAATATGTTTACATCTGTTTTCAGAGGGACATTTTTGTCTTTATTTCATATTTGCTTTGTTTAATTGTTTATTTTCGAAATATCGATCTCGTGGTATTTTGTATGTATTGTCTACTATTGTCATTACTATTGATTGCCACTTCGGATTTGTTTGTAATCTGTTTTTGAATATTTCATCTGCTACACTTGTTGGTGTTTAGCATAACACAGCTCTTAATGTTACCATTCATTTAATTGCATGCCATTCAAATTATTTTTTTATTTAGCTCCATGCTCTATTCAAAAAAAGATTATTAAAACATTCCCCTTAAATTTTCTACAATTGTTTTTATTCCAAAAATCATTCAAAATGTTTGATAGGTAGCATGATAACAATTTGCTGTGCATCTCTGTTTTGTTTTTTGATTAGAGTGAAATTACTTTCTATTTGTGTTGCAAGAAAATACAAATCAAACAGTTCTCAATTTTCATAAATGTACACTTTATTTTTTAACAGTTACAAAATGTATAACTATATAAAATGGCACCATTCTAAAATTCAATATTTGAAATAATTTAGTTGTGGAATAAATGTTGTTTTAAATTACATATTGATATTTATTTAAAGAAATGTAGTTCGGTATTATATGAATATTTGCAATTAAAGATTCGATTAGTTTAAGTATTGTAAATAATATATTTATTTATTCACTTATCATCCATTGGAATGGAAGATAATGAATACTATACACACAAAAACAAATATGAAAAGTGACATGACAAAGCAAATACACATTGCATATATGCAGAAAAAATACCAATTAAAAATGGATCTTCTTATCGTGAATTTAAATATAAAATAATGGCCGATGGCATTTATTAACAAGGTCATTCTAATAGAGTAATATAAACTAATTTTGACTGCTATAAACAATGCAAGGCAGAAAATACACAATAACAACAAGAGCTTGAAATAAATTTCAGTAGTAAACATTGTTTGAATTCATTAGTCTTTTTTTTTCAAATTAAATTTATAGTTTGTCAATTAATTTTTCAAGTAGACTCTTGTTACTATCATGCATTTTAACTAGGAAATTCATAATTTCCGCATTGTTTTCTGCCTGGCATTGTTTATACTCGTCAAACAAACGCTTCTTTTTTGGTGGGTTAGGAGCACGGATGCTCTTCTGCTTTTCTTCATTAACCTCTCTTGCCTCGCTTCCTGCAACATAAACAGGTTGTACCGTGGGGTCATCACCCATTATTTCTGACATTGCCTCTTCATATTTAAATTTACGATAAGATCATCCAGTTTTGTTATCATATTGAACATGATTTCGGTATCTTTTTTTCAATGCCTTCCATTTATCCATACATTTGTCATGCGTTGATGAGGTACCACATAATTTATTCAATTCGGAGGAAATAATAACCCATGCTGGGTTTTTTTTTCTACCACTCAGGCTATCTAATTTTTTTTAACAAGATCAATCAAGCAACTTATTTGACCCTCTGACCATTCTAATCTTTCTTCATTGAAAGTTGAAACAGAGTAAGATGTAGAAGCTGCAGGAGAATTGAGTGTAGACAAGGTGGTAGCAGAAGTTGAAGCAGCAGAAGGCAGAGTTGAATCCAAGCAAATGGTTGTGGTAGAGGTTGTAGATGGATGACATGCCGAAGTACTAGCATGGGGATGAGTATATGATTCAGAACTAGCTGATGATTGAAAATAATTCCAGGTAGAAGCAGGTGTACAAGAATTAAGAGTAGACAAAGTGGTAGCAGAAATTGAAGCTGCAGAAGGTAGTGTTGAATCAAAGCAAATGATTGGGATGGAGGCTGTGGCAGTAGCATTGGCAGGATGAATTGAAGCTGAGCTATTGAATGCTAATGGTTTTGTTGAGGCAGGAGCACTGGTATAGAGAGAAGCTTAGTACAGATGCACGTACAGGTGTAGAAGTAGCACTGGTAGGGTGAACTGAAGTTGAGCAAGTGAATGATGATGGGAATGCTAATGGTTTTGTAGAGGCAGGAGCACTGGTATAGATAGAAGCTTTAGGTACACATGCACGTACAGGTGTAGAAGTAGCACTGGTAGGGTGAACTGAAGCTGAGCTAGTAAATGATGATGGGAATGCTAATGGTTTTGTAGAGGCAGGAGCACTGGTATAAAGAGAAGCTTTAGGTACAGATGCATGTACAGGTGTAGAAGTAGCACTGGTAGGGTGAACTGAAGCTGACCTAGTGAATGATGATGGGAATGCTAATGGTTTTGTAGAGGCAGAAGCACTGGTATAGATAGAAGCTCTAGGTACAGATGCACTTACCGGTGTAGAAGTAGCACTGGTAGGGTGAACTGAAGCTGAGCTAGTGAATGATGATGGGAATGCTAATGGTTTTGTAGAGGCAGGAGCACTGGTATAAAGAGAAGCTTTAGGTACAGATGCACGTACAGGTGTAGAAGTAGCACTGGTAGGGTGAACTGAAGCTGAGCTAGTGAATGATGATGGGAATGCTAATGGTTTTATAGAGGCAGGAGCACTGGTATAAAGAGAAGCTTTAGGTACAGATGCACGTACAGGTGTAGAAGTAGCACTGGTAGGGTGAACTGAAGCTGAGCTAGTGAATGATGATGGGAATGCTAATGGTTTTGTTGAGGCAGGAGCACTGGTATAAATAGAAGCTCTAGGTACAGATGCACATAAAGGTGTTGAAGTAGCACTGGTAGGGTGAACTGAACCTGAGCAAGTGAATGATGATGGTTTTGCTGAGGCAGGAGCACTAGTATAAAAAGAAGCTTTAGATACAGATGCATGTACGGGTGTAGAAGTAGCACTGGTAGGGTGAATTGAAGCTGAGCTAGTGAATGATGGTTTTACTGAGACATTATAACTAGTATCATGAACTGAAGCTAAAGAAGTAGCACTGGTAGGATGAATAGAAGCTGAGGCAGAACTACCATTAGTCAGATGAATAGAAGCTGTGCTAGGTTCCAAAGCAGCCAAACCAATATGAATTGGATCATTTACTTTTCCATCTGGAAGATTACTAATCAATTCATTTAACAACTCTGGATCTGATGATGGAAAAGTACAAACAAATAAAGTTAGCAGATATAATAAAATGCCTGATATTATTT